AACAGGCGCCTCCGATATTTTCTTTAATGTGACCCATAGAGTAAGTAAAATAATGTTTTTATTATTTTACTTTCTCTATGATGTGACCCATAGATAAAGACTGATGTGACTAGACTTGTGAGCATAGAACAAGGCTTATATGGTCACAGGCACAGAACATACCCCCATATAAGGGGGATATTTTGTGGTCACAGGCGTGTGTGTGTGACTGACTTGACTTGTTTTTTCAGAATTCTGAACTGTTCCTTGTCCTTGAACCTTGATCTTTTTCGACCAATAGCAGTGCATTTGTTGCATCTGCCCAGTGGAGTAGTGGACGAACTACATTTAAATTTGTATAGGAGCTCTTTACCTAAATTATTATACCTTAAGTATTAAATGGCCAATTTTCATTTAAGCGATAAGATGAATTGTAATCAGTGATTAGCATGAAAATGGAATATTTTTTACATTTTACTGCCCTTAAGTGGGAAAGATAAAAAATGTGGTCTCCTTTTTTTGTGTTCAAATAAAGTTTCGATAAAATGGTAAAACGTTACTCATAAAAAATGTTATGACTTTTTTGAACATTAGCGTTTGAATACATAAAGAAACAAAAGGCATTCGGTCTTCGGTCATAATTTATTGCTGACCCAGCAAATTTGCACCCAAATTACTAGGAAGTGGCGTGGATATCCTTCAATGGAACAATTAGTGCAGTCGGATTAGATTAAATTTTTTCCGGGCACTAAATAGATGAACGCAAAATTTTTTATAATTAATTTGTTTTTGGCACTATAACTTTTTTTGAAGGTGTTTGTATACTTTATAAGTGGTATTAATTTAAGTTCCAAATATTCATAAATTTCTGTTCATTCCTATTTGCTATGTAAAAAGAGCTCTTGCCAGATTCTAAATCTCTAAACGTTTTTAGAGAGACGTCGGAGAGACTTCTCCGAGGCTGTATTTTACTTGTAAAGAGTTATACTACAACGAACAGTAAATAAAAATTTCATTACTGACTGACCAAAAAAAGTTATGGTACCATTTTCTTGAAACAAAAGTAAATTATTTATTGAAAATTAACAAAACGCTGAAATCGACGGTTTTTTTCGATTTTTGAGTAAACTAATGAACGGATTTTAATATAGTTTATCTGATGTCATAGGTATTTTTAATACTTGAAAAAAACGATAAAACTTTTTTTAAAGCATCAACGGTTCAACAATTATGCACAAAAAACGGGCTTTCGCGCTTCTTTAATTATTTATAAACAATGCTCCACAGCCGGAAATCGAGCACAAACTATTGCCTCAATATTCTGACATCCTTCCGAACAACTTCCAATAATCTTTTACCGTCATATTTTCAGTGCCCGAAACAGGCCTTTTAAAGTCTAATCCGCCTGGACTCAAAATACGCTTCAGACTGGTTTCAGGTACAAACCAATATTTATCATGAGCGAAAATAACATGTGACAAAAAATCACAGATACTTGAAACAGACCGCATGGAACCTGTAACTGAAAAATACTGGTTTGTGTCATCCCTAGAGTGAATAAGCGAACAAGCCACAAAATGCACAATTCTTCTCTCTAGTCAGTCA